TGGTATCCAGCTCTCAAAAAATGCGAAAACTCCATATAAAAAATCACTGAAGAAATTAGCTCTCAAATAAAAGTATGTACTCCCGTTTTTCTCTCTTCTTTGATGAAAACTATGAATAGGGCAACGCAGGCTTCGCGAGTAAATACATAAATACGACCAAATATATTTCTTGAAGAAAAGTGGCAGCTGAGCCATAGTAAGTGAGTATTTTTTACGTGTAAAAAATTTTTCAACATTTTATATTAACATCAAACTATTTCAGCAACGAATTTCAACGAAATACCCGACCACTTCTTCTATCATTCAAACTACACTCACTACAAAATAGCGTTAAAATGTTTAGTGCGACTTTTACAGGTATATTCTGCACGTTACCGAAGATTTTGTAACCGTTCGACTTTATTACAAAAAAATGTTACCGGCTCTTGTTACCGCAATTCTAGTTAATATTCAGCAATTCAGCTATGAGGAATTGTGGAAATTCTGGAATTGCATATTTCACGGGGCAATACTTTGTTACCAGCTTATAAAATGGTAACAACATTTAGAGGTTACACGAGTACACAGCATGCGAAAAGGGTTTAAAAATTGACAGGTACTTTATTTACCGGTTACAAAATTTTTATTACCAGGGCAGAATAGACCTGTTAGCGTTAGGTATGGAATAAAATGATAAAGACAAATTCTGTCATGATATTTTACTTCGAGAAAACGCATTTAAAAAATATGCCCTCCAAATATGTTTAAAAATGTTCAAATTCATCTGCATCTATGTAAGTAAACGTACTTTTTAAAAAGTACAAATATAACGCACATGTTTGCATTTTCCCTCGCCAGAAAGGCTTCGACTCCATCCGATATCTGCGTAGTTAGACTGGTTTTTGAGCTCTTATGACACTCAAATCACCTTTACGAATGAGCGAACGGGTAGCTGTATGTAGTTGTAAGATGACACCGCTGAATTTCTACATGAATGGATCGAAGTTTGACGGCAGTGTCTCGACGTTGCCAAGGAAATTTTTCTCGGTCCGACTCAATTCGGTACCAGGCCATACTGATAATGCAGGGAATCACGTTGCTGATAAGTTGGCAACTTTCCCTTTTGCTAAGTGTATTGTTTCTAAATATATGATTTTTAAGATGTTTGCTATATAATTCATTATAACACTGAACGATTTTTTCAACACGGCGGCAGCTCAGCGTTGAATTCTAAATACTATCGGCGCAACTATCTCTATTTATTGCGACTTCATTTGTTTACTTTTACAGTTGTTCATTTGACAGCATATTCATCAAGCCGTTTCTAAGACATAATGGTTGAGTTCAACAGTTGCCAACAGTTTCGTAGCAGATGGGCTAAAAAGCTACGTCTTATGAACGCGCCCATTGTCGCAGCTGTTTACAGTACAATGAGCAATAAATGAGTGGAACCACAACTTACTCTTAAGCTGCCTAGATTTTGTGAGACTACGAAACATATTTACAAAATAAGTTCTTCCTTACAAGAATGTATCCTTTTATCTTAAGAATTTTTGAAGTTGTAATAACGAACAAAATATTTAATTTGTTAAGTTAGCTCTTTTTTCAGCAATGACTTACATTTTGATTTGATTTTGATTTTGGTTTTTGATTTGATTTTGAAAAAATAAATAAATAAAGTTTTTAAAGCTGAGTTTAGTAAAAAAAAGTGTGATTTTATAAAGTCCCCTGAGATAACAGGAGATACTCGCCTCATAAGTTTGGTTATAGCCATCCGATAATGCAACTTGTTGGGATATTTGTATCTCCCAGAGAGAGTGGTTAGAGGTCTAATAGCGATCGCAGGCGAACCTCGCAAGTATCTTTTGTGATTGTAAAAGTTTCGGTGATATAGTTATAATTAAAAATTTAACATATTGTTGAGTAAAATGTCCCACCAGTCACAATGAAATGGCCCAAAATAAAACCTTGTTTTAAGGTACAACCGAGGTGAGGTCCAACCAAAAGGCTACAAACACATACGCACTATTGCCTGAGCTGCAGGGGATATTCTTAACCCGCAAGTGACTGCACTCCGGCTGCGGGTTACTAGAAGGACGGGATAAGGAACACAATAGACTGCCGACAACACTAATGGCCAAATAGGGGCAACAACACAGAGGATACTTATGCTTTGGTCGTGGTGTGCGTCGACCGATGGATGCTACCGCGCGGTTATGCCGCCTAAATCCGGTAACCACACTGCCAATTACGCCATTTACCGCCAAGACTGGGGCCACTCCTAGATCCTGTTTACCTACGGTCTAAGTACCTCTCTAACGAACGCGTCGGTCCGCAAAACCATCGGGCCTCAGTGTCGGTGTAGTTGGTGCCCAATAAATTTGCACATGTCCGTTAATCCTAAAAACGATCGCCACAACGGTTATGCAAATAAGCACCATGGACTTTCCCATTAGTAACATACCGCGGACAACAAAAGTGCCGCGATATATCGGTTTGGAGCGAAAATGCCTAATGGAGAGTTTTTATCAATGTAATAGCATACCACCGACAATCACCTGCTTTGCTCTTCAAGCTGAGCTTTTATAAACGCAACTAGTTGTCGGTAGAGTTCGCGCCTACTGGTTGGAGTGCAGGAAATTAGGGTACAACGAAGAGAGTAACAAAAGGAAACTTTATTGCGGCCTACGATTCATTATTTTTTGACAGCATAATATTATAACAAAACGCACTAGCCCTAGATTTTTTCTAAATGGACTAAAAGAATTCCCGTATTTTTTCTTAAAACAAAAAACAGGGTTTGAAAAGCTGTAATTTTTTCATTTAATTTGCTTTTGCTGGCATTTATGATATCGAAAACAAAGCAACAGCAATTCAAAAANTATTTATGTTCTACTTTTTAGTCCTGTCTGAATAAAAGTTTGCAATAGATATTAAAATAATTCAACGATATTAATAGAAAGGTGCACACACATGCATTTACATATGTATGTACATACAAACGAGCACCAATTAATTTTATTTAAAGAAATGGCGTGTCGTCTATTTCCGCTGTAGCAAACGTAGTACATAGGGCGACATCTAGATGTCATCTACCTCGCCCTATTCACTACAGCTGTCGCCCTATGCACTATGCTTTTTTATAGGAACTTTTCAAAGCTTTGCTTTGGTGTCGGACACACAACATTGAAAGTTTCTGGATCCACAACATTGAAAGTTTCTGGACGCACAACATTGCAAGTTGATAAAAGCGTTGTAAAAAACAAATGCAGCAATTTGACTATCACTTGGCTGTGAAACATCAGATTGGTATAAATATGCATGAACAAATGCGCTATCCTTCAGTCCTACTGGTGACAAGAAACGACCATAAGCTAGCGATTGGTCAACGCCAATTTTGCACCAGATAATCGCCAGCGAAAGGTCATGCCACGCGCTCGGCTCGGTAGGCTCCAATGACATCGCCATGTTTAATTCGTTAGGCAAAGGATTTGGTATCGCACCTCACTCCTGGCGAGTCACCGACAATTCACAATGCTGCAAAGCTTCATGTACACCGGACAGTCAAGCAGATCACAACACGGGAAAAGTACTATCACAGCAAATCAAAAGCAATCAATTGTCTTCAATAAACTACCGATAAAAAAGCAAAATACAATTTTCGAAGTCACAGTAGAAGTAAAGCAGTTCGAATGAAAATTAAAAATTTCTAAGCGAAGCAAAAGCAAAAATAATAGTGCTGTTGCTGCAGTACTGAGAGCTTTTCAAACTTTGGAAAAAACATATTTCGAACTGCCTCAAAGCTCATTGAGGTTTCTTCGTATTTTATATGGAGAGAAAAAGATTTTTTGATTCTTGAAAATCAATATATGTATGTATACCAAACGGCGGAAAATTTTTAAAATCGGACAATAACCACGACCACATTGCACATAACGGTTATTTAGAGATATATGAAATCTTCGATAAATCAATAAATACTTAAGCTAATTTATTCAAAATTGATACTTGCAATAATTCTATAGCAGAAAATACGTTTATGATAAAATTTTGAAAAATGCGCATGGCACCGCCCCCGTTTATGACCACAAATGTGTATCTCGATAACCGTTCGACCAATTTGAGCCAACCACGGTATTATTATTGTGCTTGCCACATAAAAGCGAACCGTTGATTAATGNCAATTTTGAAAAATGCGCATGGCACCGCCCCCGTTTATGACCACAAATGTGTATCTCGATAACCGTTCGACCAATTTGAGCCAAACACGGTATTATTATTGTGCTTGCCACATAAAAGCGAACCGTTGATTAATGAAACTATTGAAATTGGACTAAAATTACGGCAACTTTTCATATAACGGTAAATTTCAGATATGCTTGAAACTTCGATATTTCGAAATTTAAGAACGCTAATTTACTAAAAGTTGTTACTTACAAAACAATCACTTGAAAAGGACTAACATTATTATGGAATTTTGGAAAATGGGCGTGATGCCGTCCACATATGACTATATAAGTTTATTTCATTATCTAAAGTTTATCTAACTGAACATTCTATCGAAAATGTTTGATATAGACGTAAAACCACCCCTGTTTACCACGTAGCGGTTTTTGTAGTTGAATGAAGAAGAAAATGTGTATATTGTAATGGAAACTCCTTAAAGATTTTTTACACTCTTAATGGCAATATTTAATAGTTTTCAAATTTTTTTCGTCCGCTCCTGAGAACTAGTTTCCTATGGTCTTGCAGCAAAGGTATTTTTTTCCAATTGGTACATACTCAATAGAGCCGAGATGAATGATAGTGAAAAAAAAGTTGTATCATAAATATATATTTGCAATTCAATTAGAATATCTCCGTAAATGATAACGCGAGTTTCATGTTTTTGTGCTATCAATGATTTTAGTTTTTCATTTATAAAATTAACCTATAAATACCAGGCGAACAAAACAGTGATTCCCATTTTTCCGGAAAATCCGGTGAAAAGTCTATTTATACAAATTGCAAATAAAGTCGGCATGAAGTGCTCTGCGTTCGCAATTGTCATCCTTTGTTCCCTGAGTGGATTATCAAAGGTAAATACATATTGAAGAATTCTCAGAGAACAATGATTTACTAGAAATAATTTTAGGCTGAGCAACCATATAATGTGAAAAATGAAGCCTCCGAATGTTTAAAGGGCTTGAGGGAGACCCTCTATGAATGTGATTTTAAACTCGTTGGGCGACAACGTCTACTTAATGGCACCTTTTCAATTAACGATGACATAGCCAGCGATCACTATACATTTCAAGTAGATCTATTCTCCTCACCACTGGGCGATGGCCAGTACAAGCTGTTGCCAATGGGTGTACCGCGCCTCGGCGTTTGCGAGGGTATGAGAGATTTGTACACCAAAGTGGTACAGCCGTCGTTAATCGAGGGGGAAAATACCAATTTCCCATTTATTCCTGAGGAAGGTCTTTGTCCCATACCGAAAGGTAAATACTTCATAAAGAATATGAAGTTCGATACGGATTCTTGGCCAAATCAAATACCGCGTGGCCTTTTAAAAGCAGTGTTAACCATTTTCAAGGACGGGGTAGACGTCGGAAGGGGTGCTTTGTATATGCGTGTCGTAGATCGTGAATAAGCGCCGAAGCTAGTGGAGTTCGAAGGTATCTTTGACATTAATTGTGAATATTGTTAGCTATTGAATGTTAAGTGATATTTCAAATTAAATTAAAATTGTAATATGCATGCAACAAATAAGTAAAATTTTTAAGGAATGAAAATTAAGTAGAAATGAAGATATGAAGAATTCAGAACTTTTTGACGCTCGCACAGACGAATTTGCGTCAATAGATCACTGAAAATATACCGACAGTTCGAAACTTAGGTAACTGGTTTTGCGAAAAATGGCCAGAATCGGTTGAAAAGTTGCTAACAGAATTATTTGCGAAAGGCTAAGATGCCTTGACATGATCTCATTAACCAGAGTATTAAGAATAGGGAAGCCCCAAAAATTTATTTTCTGGCTGACAGAAGTTCATAGTACTAGTGGCAGAGATAAAAAGGCGCCTTGATTCGACCAGTTTTGTTTATATTCTTTTTTTTATTCAAAATTTAATTTATTTTTATTAAAGTTTACCTCATATCACACACACTTAACTGCATATACATAAATTGGCATTTTTCTGACGTAATGATTTTTTCAAAAAGACTTTATAGTTTCAAAGATATGATTAATTCCAAAATGAATTAAAAAAAATCAGTGCAATGTAAAACAAAAATGTGGGTATCTACCAAATCAAATAATTTTTTTTTGGGTTCACAAGGACGAATAGGAACTGAAAATGCACCTTTAATTAATTACATTTTTTTAAGCTAATAAAGTCAGTCCTTAACATACAATTAAAAAAAATAATAATTGCAAAATTTCAATGATATTCAAGGATAAAATTATAAAAGGATATTTTCAATACCTACCCGTCCATAACGCACCAACAAATGTAGTGTGTTTAAACTCTACAGAATCTTCTCTTTCATTTGATACCCATACTGTTTTTTTTTAGGAATATTGCACAGAAATTTTTAAATCATTTTTTTAATGACTCATATCTTTCAAATTTTAAAGTTATTTAAAAAAAACCCTGACGTAAGAGGGAAAAATTAAGAACGCGATTTCACTATATTTGGCCCTTAGTTTTTTGGCACTAAGTGGGGTAGCCTGCTTGCGGTATGGTAGGGGTGGTTTCTAGGGGTTAGGGCTGTGTGTGACTCGGTACCAGTGGGTAAGATAGTGTAGGGGTTTGTTGAGTTAGCACATTTATGGTGTGAGACAAATTTTTAAGAAAAATAAGACTCAATTCGAGAAAATTAGTAATCGACTATATCNGAAAATAAGACTCAATTCGAGAAAATTAGTAATCGACTTTATCATGTCTACGTTATCTCAATCGATTTTCAGGTGTAGGAAAATTTAGAAACATGAAAATTTCAAAATGCGATATCTCAGCGAAAAAAATGATATTTCAGCAAACAAAACGCCATTTGAAACTTGTACTTAGACATGCCAGCCTATTAGTTTGGTGAAAGAAAACATCTGCAAGGCTACATAACCTCAAATATGGGCAAAAAAGGTGCTTTTTGCATTTTTAGGTTAGGATATCTCGAAAACCAGAGCTGATAGAGCAATTCTGAGGCCAGATTCAGATTCAGCGCATCAAAATCCTTTGAAAATATATAGTCCGGTTTCTGGGTCCGAGATGCTGTCGGCCTGTGTTATTTTTGTGTGCAAAGTTGCCTGCCGCAAGGTATCATATGTATGTATGTATGTATATTGAGCTACACATTTATGAAAAAAAAGTTAAATATTAAATAAACAGAAGACATACGATATAGTCATAACTGATCAACATAAAGCGTTTCTATTATTACTTCCACTGTGGCAATCTCGGCAAATAATCGCGGGATTTTTGGGACTTAAAAAGGCCGGAATCGTGGGAATACGCACCTACTTAAAGCATAGACCAGATGGTACATATCTGGTTCACACTTGAGCTGAAATCTAATCTCTTTTCTGGGCTTGAAGGAAAATTAGTCTATTAACTCTAAAATATGGAGAAAATGCCAAAGCAGTTGAAGATACACAACCTCGTGAAAAAAAGTAATATTCGTTTGGCTATCCCGAGACCTTCACCTCCGTCATGTTACCGGACTTTTAGTTAAATAGAAGAAGTTCAGGAGAGGCCTTCTGTGGCATATGTGGCAGAAGTGCGTTAGATCAATGAAATTCAACGCTAAGAGAAAATCTTAGTTATTTCGTTGATCTTTTCTTACTATTTGGCGCTGTAACCGCCCCTAAGTGATTTTGGCCGAGTTCAACAAACCACGCCAGCCGTTTCTCTTCAGTGCCAATGGACGCCAATTGGAAATGCCAAGTGAAGCCAAGTCCTTCTCTACCTGGCCATTCCATCTCAGTGGGGGCCTCCCTCTTCTTCTGCTACCACCAGCGGGTTCCGAGTTGAATAGTTTCAGAGCTGGAGCTTCGGTGTCCATTCGAACGGCGTGGCAAAGCCAGCGGAACCGCTGTATTTTAATTAGCTGCATTATGTCCATGTCGCTGTAAAGCTCATACAGCTCATCGTTCCATNATTCCATCTCAGTGGGGGCCTCCCTCTTCTTCTGCTACCACCAGCGGGTTCCGAGTTGAATAGTTTCAGAGCTGGAGCTTCGGTGTCCATTCGAACGGCGTGGCAAAGCCAGCGGAACCGCTGTATTTTAATTAGCTGCATTATGTCCATGTCGCTGTAAAGCTCATACAGCTCATCGTTCCATCGTCTGTGGTTTTCGTACTTCGAGAGAGGACTTTACTTCTGAATTGCCTACTCAGTCCAAAGTAGAACTTGTTGGCAAGAGTGATTCTGCGTTGGATTTCCATGCTGACATTTTTCTCTACTTTCTCAAAGCTTTTTGTCCTTTGTAGATCGTTTGTTATAGGCCATTTTGTACCTTTGAAAATAACTTTTTATTGGCCGTGCCACACGACTGGTACATTTGTACACTTTTATTGGGCAAAAACAAAGAAATCGGGACAAAAATTTTTTTTATAGTCACACGATGGCACAGTGGTTGCTGCCATAGGCCAAAATTAAAAAAATTTATGTACAAATATTTGAATAAAAATAGGCTTTGCAATCAGTTTTTTGTCCAAACTTCATGTTGTCATATATTTTTTGTTTTCATTCTAACGGTTGTTTCTTAAAAAAGCAACAAACATGTCATCAATTTTTCATTTAGTAGGATTTTGTGTGTTTCTTGGTTCGTCTTTCAAGTATTTAGGCAATGTTTTAAGTGTGTTTCCCCTATCGGCCCTCAATATTTTTATTTACATATTGTTTGTTTATATTTTAAGATTATAAAAGTATTCAGTGTAAAATTTGCTGGGTGCAATAGCGAAAGATATTGAATATGAGGGTTTTGAGCCAGATCGGTATGAGTTGCAAACATGTATTAATTACGTTTGTAAAAAATTTGCATTGTTTTGGCAAAGATTCAAACGCCAAAAATCAGCAGTTTTGAAAAATCATTATAATTGGCTCGAAAAGAAAGAAATTATTTAATTAAAATGACAACCAACAGTTTCCACCAATGCGAATCGTGGCGCCCGAAAATAAACTTTGTTGAGTCTTCAAAAAGACTAATCGTCGGCGAACATATGGGGGTAAAATTTTTACCCAAGGTCTGTTAAGAGTAAAAACTCTAATATGTAAAAGTGGGCGGGGTTGGACACGCCCACATACAGTCATGTGAAAAATAATAGGGACACGACATTGTGACCAGTTTCGGCTATTTTTGTTTTTTTTTTTGTTTGTTTAATGTTTATTAAAAAAAATAGAAGAATTCAACAAAATTTTAAAGCAACATCACACTTTTTAAATAAGAAATTTTAGAACAAAGTTATGTACGCAGTTTTTAGCGCACTGAATTCTAGCTCAAGAAAGTGCAAGTTTTAAGTGGCTTAGAAATCGCTCTGATTTTTGATAAGTTTTTTTCTGACGTCACGCATTTTCTTCCATTTAAAGTATGTTTGACAATTTTTTTTTTTATGGAAACAAATAGTAAAACCATCCGCCAAAAAAAAGTATCAACAATCAACGCAAATTTTTAGCCACTTCAAACTTGCAATTTCTTAAGCTAGAATTTAATGGCCTATAAAACTGCACACCTAGATTTTATCTAAAAGTTCTTATTAAAAAGGTTTGTGTTGTTTTATAATTCTGTTGAATTTTTATACTTTTTACAATGTTTGAAATTTGGACTTATGTGGTTTTGTTAGATAGCGAGTTGTATTTTTATAAAAAAAAATAAACATTAAACAAACAAAAAAAAACAAAAATAGCCGAAACAGGTCACAATGTCGTCTCCCTATTATTTTTCACATGACTGTATGTGGGCGTGTCCAACCCGGCCCACTTTAAGATATTACAGTTTTTACTCTTAACAGACCTTAGGGTAAAAATTGTATCGCGACATGTCCATTAAAAGTATTTTTGGCCGCTCTCCTCATATAAATGCAACCACTGTGGATTGGTACAATACAGCGAACTTCTATTGAAAATTTGTACAATAAGTTTGTGGTGATGGGGATAAAGGAAAATATTCGTGCCTTCACAAGATTGGGATACGATTTGCAGCAAACTTGGGTTTCAACTGTATAAGAACGATTTCTTGCATGGCACTGTCAATTTCATCAGAAGACTTCAAGTCATCAATATAGATGTCTTTGCATTTAGCAATCTTAAGTCGATGGAAGGCTAAAAACTTCGTCCGAATGCCTTCACGTAATAGCTTAGTACTTTTTATGTAGCATTCTTGTGGTTAGTTAAACCCTGCAAAAAATTGTGCGACTAATCTCTAATGAGAGTATTCCTAGATTAATATCAATCGGTTACAATTGTGCATTAATTAGTCGCAACTAGTCTCATACGGGTACAGTTGGAGATCAATTAGTCTCGACTCATCCCTTGCGGGTATAATTGGAGATCAATTAGTCCCAGACTCATCGCTAACGGGTACTTAAATATTAACGATTTAATGATATATACGCACTTAGTCAATGAAATTACATGTGCGGCGTTGGCACATAGAGAGAGTATTCGTTTAACAAAACTGAGAAACCCGGTTCGAATCGCAAATTTTAATTTTTATTTTTATTTTTTTAAAAGTGACTAGCCACTTCATAGGACATGCTCGAACAAAAGCGAACAGTTTATTCCATATAAAGAGATTAAAATTAGTATAAGTCGCATGTTCCTTTGCGATTGCCCCCGGAGTCATCCAGATTAGTCGCATTTTTTGCAGGAACGCACATGTTCTTGCACATCTACACATACACACCTTCACATAAATACTTCTATTAGGAAATTTTAAATCTCCTATGGTCCTTTAGGAACCCACGCCGTGCCACTTAATATCAGAATCGAGAGGCTTTTATTATTAAGAAGAAATATGACTAGAAGAGGAACCAAATACATCCTATGCGAAAATTTCGCTTGAAATGTAAGCTCATTAAAGTTTTACCAACCTCGTAATGGTTACTGACTTTAATAATAATTTTGCCAACATTTTTCGTCCGCCGCTGAGTTTGGTCTAGCACGCGATTCTTCAAACAAGCGAATTTTTTCCAATTTGTCTTTTAATCAAAAAAGCACAGATGAATGATAGTCAAAACAAGTTGTATCATAAATATATATTTGCAAGTCAATTAAAATAACTCCGTAAATGGTAACGCGATTTTCATGTTTCTGCGCTATCAATGATTTTAGTTTTTCACTTTTAAAATTAATCTATAAATACCAGGCCAACAAGTCAATGATTGCCATTGTGTCTCAAAATCTGGTGAATTATCAATTAATAAAATTTTCCAGTAACGTCGCTAAAGCACTTTCCCCGGCATGAAGTACTCTGCGTTCGTAATTGTCGTCCTTTGTTACCTGAGTGTCCTATCAAAGGTAAATCTTGAAGAATTCTCTGAACAAAACTATGATTTACTAAAAAAACAATTCTAGGCTGAGCAACCATATACTGTGAAAATGGAAGACGCCGAATATTTCAATGGCTTGACGGAGACCCTCTTTAATTGTGAAATGAAACTCGTTGGGCGAAAACGCCTACTCAATGGCACAATGACATTCGGCGAGGATATGGCTAGCGATCACTTTAAATACCAAATAGAGATATTTAACGCACCACCCGGCGATAATCAGTTCAAGCGATTGCCTTTGGGTGTGCCGCGCACCGCCATTTGTGAGGGTTTTAAAGCATATTACGGCGAATTTCTGCAGCCGTCGTTTATTCAGGAGGAAAATACCAATCTGCCCTCTATGCCCAAGGAGGGTCTTTGCCCCTTCCCAAAAGGTGAATACTGGTGTAAGAATTTGCTGCTTAACACAGACGCTTGGCCAAATCAATTACCGCGTGGNGGTGAATACTGGTGTAAGAATTTGCTGCTTAGCACAGACGCTTGGCCAAATCAATTACCGCGTGGTCTTGTAAAAGCAGTGATAACCTTTTTCAAAGATGAGGTAGATGTTGGTGGCGGTTCAATAACTGTGCGTGTCGAAGATCGTGAATGAAGCACACGAGATACTAGAGTTCAGAAAGAACATTAACTTCGATTTTGAAAATTATTAGCTATTCGGTGTAAAGTAAATATTTTAAATAAACATTATATTAATATGAGTATGTGCGCAGCAAAAACATTTGTATCTATTAAAATTTTTATGAAATTGTATTGAAAATGAAGTGGCATTGCTAATTGGAGGTATGAGGAATCCGGACGCTGTCCAGGTAGTGATGGCACAAATAATCGTATAACCGATTATAATCTGTTATTTACTTTCGGTTAACGATTTGATTGTATCGAAATTTTCCTTTCTTTCGATTAACCGCTTACTTTTTGAAATTAAATAAAATAGACCATCAAAATTCTATTACTTTACTCAAGCGATAACGTATACATATATCAAAATTTCGTAATTAAAACATGGCGCTCTAACCTTGGGCTGCCATAAGTCGGAACCCGTCGACCAGGACACTTTCCATATATATATATATATATAACAGACACAGGAAGCGCGCACTGCCTACCACTATACCACAGCAGCCGCCTATGGTTTTTATAAGTTTTCAATTTAATTCAAAATGACCGATTAATAGATTAATTTCCTACGATTAATTTCCTTTCGATTTCTCAATTAACCGATTAATCGATTATAACATTTTTCGCCATCACTATCTCAGGGGCATCTAGAATGGGCTGCTCTCCACATTTTTATCCAGGAAAAACACGGTTACACTGTGTGCTAGTGTGGAATCGAAGGCAATGACGTCGGCGACGAGATGGAAAGAGAAGGATCAATAACTGCCGTTTCGGGACCAGAGCTATTTTGTGATTTTAGTTGGTTCTCTTCGAGAGCCATACTTATTGAGTGGGTACACTCTGAACGCAGTACTTAAGTACTATGGGCGGTGGGGGGCTATAGGTAGGTCAGGCTCTTCGGCTTCCCTTCAGCATAAAGGATATTATTTTAGAAAATAGAACATCAGGCTACTTTCTGTGTTCCTGACTGATCACAGCGATTGCGATTCCACTTGCACCGAATATTTAGGTAGGTATGATCCCAGAGTTGGAATGCCGAATCTGCCTTGAAGGTGATGCAACTTCAGAGCATATTCTATGATACTGTCCAGCTTTGGCCAGACAAAGATTGACCCATTTCAATTATTACACTTTGCGATAATTTTATGACTACTCAAACCAGCCCGGACTTTGGTAATATTTTCGGGAAGTATACATATGCAGTAATAAAACACTTGATGGATTAGGAAAAGTTAGCTTGTATTATTATTTTATGGTCCACTAAAGTTTTCATGTCCCGGCCTAAACAGTTTTCAAAAAAGTGGAAAATATTGTTAAAATAAATGTCTGAGCGAAATTAAAGGTTTAATAAGGTCTAATATCAACGGTATTACCCTCCATTCCCGCCCATCCGCACGAGAGCCGCAGTCCGCATGACGTACGCAACCAATATTTTAAATTTTTGCGCCGAGTCACGAAAGGCAGGAGATTGTTAAGTGTCGTGATCTAAAACTGTTCAGCAACAGAACTAAATTCATCAGCTGACTTTATGTCTTTGTGCAAGTAATTCATTTATTGAGAGAGGAGAGTATCGATTTCGATGATCTAGCCACCCAGAATAGGGTATCCTTAAAATGGAAGGTCGGTCAAGAAATTTTAAATGGGGAAAAGACTATGAGAACCCGTAACATGGTTTTTGCCCATAAGCCCAGATTTTGAGGTTTTTTTTGCGTCCTAGTTGATTTTCGCTCTTATCTACCGCATTATTTAAATGCAATAATAATTTTTCCAACTTTCTTCGTGCACTCCTCTGTTGCAAATGTTTTGGCACGCGATTGTTCAAACAAAAAGCTGAGATGAATGATAGTCAAAATACCATGTATTCTAAATATATATTTGCAATTCAATTAAAATAATTTCGCAAATGTAAACGCAATTTTCATATATTTGCACTATCAAAGATTTTAGTTGGTCGCTTACAATAGATATCAACTTATAAATACCAGCCGAACAAAACAACGATTGCCATTATTTCAAAAAATTTGGTGAAAACAATTTTTATAAAAATTCCCGATACCATCGCCAACACACTTCTCTCGGCATGAAGTACTCTGCGTTCGCAATTGTCGTCCTTTGTGCGCTGAGTGGATTATCAAAGGTAAAACTTGATGAGTTCTCTGAATGAAACTACATATATTTTACTAGAAATAATTCTAGGCTGAGCAAGCGTATACTGTGAAAAATGAAGCAGTTGAATGTTTTAATGGTGACGTGGATAGCATCTATCATTGTGAATTGAAACTCGTTGGACGACAGCGCCTACTTAATGGCACCATGTCAGTCGACGAAGACATGACCAGCGAACACTATACATTTCAAGTAGAGGTGTTCACCTCCCCACTGGGCGATGATCAGTTCAGGCTGTTGCCTATGGGTGTACCGCGCACCGGCGTTTGTGAGGGTCTTCGGTATTTGTACACCAAACAGGTGCAGCCGTCGGTTATTCAGGGGAAACACACCAATTTCCCTTTTGTGCCTGAGGAGGGTCTTTGTCCTATACCGAAAGGTGAATACTTCATAAAAAATATAGAGTACGACACCGATTCTTGGCCAAATCAAATACCGCGTGGCGTTATTAAAACAGTAATAACATTTTTCAAAGACGGGGTAAATATTGGCGGCTATGTAATACGTATGCTCGTAGAAGATCGTGAATGAGCGCAGAGATATTAGATATGGAAATGATTGATTATGAAAATTATAAGCTATGAATGTAAAGTGAATATTTGAAATAAAAATTGTAGTATATTTGCAGCAAATAATTAAAGATTTTTGGAATTTGAACGATGGTATGGGTTGGAAATTGCAGGTAAGTTAGAAATAGTGTCTGAGGGAAATATCTTCGAAAAGATAGGTTGTCTTGGTATTGGCCAAGAGTAGAGAAATCTCTAGCGAGCATAAAAGCGAGCACCTACGTATGGTCTTCAATATAAACGCATATTACCTATCTTAGGCAAATATAAGATTATTATTATTATTATATGTATGTGCGTGGAAATACCAAAGGAGTTGAAGATACCTCAACTGGATGATTTAAATGCACACCGCATATTTATCCTGGAAAGGGTAGTGTGCCTAGATCGGCTTGGTTAGGAAATAATCATTGTATTTCACGTTAACTGGTGGTATGAGAGACTAATCGCAAGAAAAGAGAGATATGGAAAATGTAAGTAGTTTTGGGTTTACTGTGCCGAGCTTCCTGGGACTGCGCAGGTTACAAAGTGGATGAAGGGAATGGTGAGTCCCGAATGGATACGCACAATGTGTCTCAATGTCCATGATGAAAAATGATAGAATTAGGTAACTATTTAATATTTAAGCGTCCGAATATCGCAATGTAGGCAGAATAAATTACTATGGGTTCTTAT